GTCTCAGTGTCCGTGACTTCTGCTTCTGCTGATTGGATTATTGTGTGTGTTTGGGTCAGATCTTGTCAGTGTTACTGGTGGTGTTGGTGAGGGAGTGTTACTGGTGTTGGTGAGGGAGTGTTACTGGTGGTGTTGGTGAGGGGGTGTTACTGGTGGTGTTGGTGAGGGGTGTTACTGGTGGTGTTGGTGAGGGAGTGTTACTGGTGGTGTTGGTGAGGGGGTGTTACTGGTGGTGTTGGTGAGGGAGGTGTTGGTGGTGGTGGTTGGTGAGGGGTGGTGTTGGTGGTGTTGGTGTTGGTCTGGGGGTGTTGGTGACTGGTGGTGTTGGTGAGTTGGGTGTTACTGGTGGTGTTGGTGAGGGTGGTGTGGTGACTGGTGGTGTTGGTGAGGGGGGTGTGTTGGTGAGGGGCGGTGTTGGTGGTGGTGGTGTTGGTGACTGGTGGTGTTGGTGAGGGGGGGTGTTGGTGGTGGTGTTGGTGAGGGCGGTGTTGGTGGTGGTGTTGGTGAGGGGTGGTGTGGCGGTGGGGAGGTGTTGGTGAGGTGGTGTTGGTGACTGGTGGTGTTGGTGAGGTCTGGGGGTGTGGTGGTGGTGGTGTTGGTGAGGGCCTGGTGTTGGTGGTGGTGGTGTTGGTGTTGGGGTGGTGTTGGTGAGGGGTGGTGTTGGTGAGGGTTGGTGTGTTGGTGAGTGGTGGTGTTGGTGTTGGTGTTGGTACTGGCGGTGTTGGTGAGTGGCGGTGTGGTTAGTGGTGGTGTTGGTGAGGGGTGGTGTTGGTGGTGGTGGTGGTGGTGAGTTGGTGGTGTGGTGTTGGTGGTGGTGTTGGTGAGGGTGGTGTTACTGGTGTTGGTGAGGGTGGTGTTGGTGAGTGGTGGTGTTGGTGAGGGGTGGTGGTGGTGTTGGTGAGGGGTGGTGTTGGTGGTGTTGGTGTTGGTGAGTGTTACTGGTGTTGGTGAGGGGGTGTTGGTGAGGTCTGGTGGTGTTGGTGTTGGGCGGTGTTGGTGAGGGGTGGTGTTGGTGAGGGGTGTTGGTGACTGGTGGTGTTGGTGAGTATGGGCGGTGTTGTGGTGTTGGTGAGGGTGGTGTGGTGACTGGTGGTGTTGGTGAGGGTGTTGGTGACTGGTGGTGTTGGTGAGGGGTGTTGGTGACTGGTGTTGGTGAGGGGTGGTCTGGTTGTGTGGGTGGTGGTGTTGGTGGTGGTGTTGGTGAGGGGTGGTGTTGGTGGTGTTGGTGTTGGTGTGGGTGGTGTTGGTGAGGGGGTGTGGTACTGGTGGTGTTGGTGAGGGGTGGTGTTGGTGGTGTTGGTGTTGGTGAGTGTTACTGGTGTTGGTGAGGGTGGTGTTGGTGGTGGTGGTGAGGGGTGAGGTACTGGTGGTGTTGGTGAGGGCGGTGTTGGTGAGGGGTGGTGTTGGTGAGGTGGTGGTGTTGGTGAGGGGTGGTGTTGGTGAGTGGTGTGTGTTGGTGTTGGTGAGTGGTGGTGTTGGTGAGGGGTGTGGTGGTGGTGGTGTTGGTGAGGGTTGGTGTTGGTGGTGGTGGTGTTGGTGAGGTCTGGCGGTGTTGGTGAGGGGTGGTGTTGGTGAGGGGCGGTGGTGGTGTTGGTGAGGGGCGGTGTTGGTGACTGGTGGTGTTGGTGAGGGCTGGTGTTGGTGAGTGGTGGTGTTGGTGAGGGGCGGTGTTGGTGAGTGGTGGTGGTGGTGAGGGCGGTGGTGGTGTTGGTGAGGGTGGTGTTGGTGAGGGGCGGTGTTGGTGAGGGGTGGTGTTGGTGGTGGTGTTGGTGAGGGGTGGTGTTGGTGGTGAGGGGTGTGTTGGTGAGGGGTGGTGTTGGTGTGGTGTTGGTACTGGTGGTGTTGGTGAGGGGTGTTGGTGTTGGTGAGGTGTTGGTGTTGGTGAGTACTGGTGGTGTTGGTGAGGGTGGTGGTGTTGGTGGTGTTGGTGTTGGTGTTACTGGTGGTGTTGGTGAGGGTGGTGTTGGTGGTGGTGTAGTGGTGGGTGGCTGGTGGTGACTGGTGGTGTTGGTGAGTGGTGTTGGTGTTGGTGACTGGGTGTTGGTGAGGTGGTGGTGTTGGTGGTGGTGTTGGTGTTACTGGTGGTGTTGGTGGTGTTGGTGGTGGTGTTGGTGGTGAGTGTTACTGGTGTTGGTGAGGGGCTGGTGTTGTGTGTGAGGTGGTGTTGGTGTGTTGGTGGGGTTGGTGTGGTGGTGTTGGTGAGGGGTGTTACTGGTGTTGGTGAGGGAGTGTTACTGGTGGTGTTGGTGAGGGTGGTGTACTGGTGGTGTTGGTGAGGGCGGTGTTGGTGAGGTGTTGGTGTTGGTGTGGGGCTGGTGTTGGTGAGGGGTGGTGTTGGTGAGTGGTGGTGGTGGGGAGTGTTGGTGGTGGTGTTGGTGAGGTGGTGTTGGTGGTGGTGTTGGTGGTGGGGTGTTGGTGACTGGTGGTGTTGGTGAGGGGTGGTGTTGGTGAGGGGTGGTGTTGGTGAGGGAGTGTTACTGGTGGTGTTGGTGAGGGTGGTGTTGGTGACTGGTGGTGTTGGTGAGGGGTGGTGTTGGTGACTGGTGGTGTTGGTGAGCCTGGGGTGGTGTTGGTGAGGTCTGGTGGGTGGTGTTGGTGAGGGTGGTGTGGTGAGTGGTGGTGTTGGTGAGGGGTGGTGTTGGTGAGTGTTGGTGTTGGTGAGGGGTGGTGTTGGTGAGGGCGGTGTTGGTGGTGGTGTTGGTGAGGGGTGGTGGTGGTGTTGGTGAGGTGGTGGTACTGGTGGTGTTGGTGAGGGAGTGTTACTGGTGGTGTTGGTGAGGGAGTGTTACTGGTGTTGGTGAGGGGGTGTTACTGGTGGTGTTGGTGAGGGGGTGTTACTGGTGGTGTTGGTGAGGGAGTGTTACTGGTGGTGTTGGTGAGGGAGTGTTACTGGTGTTGGTGAGGGGGTGTTACTGGTGGTGTTGGTGAGGGGGTGTTACTGGTGGTGTTGGTGAGGGGGGTGTTGGTGACTGGTGGTGTTGGTGAGGGTGGTGTTGGTGAGGGGTGGTGTTGGTGAGGGGGGTGTTGGTGACTGGTGGTGTTGGTGAGTGGGTGTGGTGACTGGTGGTGTTGGTGAGGGGTGGTGTTGGTACTGGTGGTGTTGGTGAGGGGTGGTGTTTGAGTGGGGTGGTGTTGGTGAGGTAGTGGGGCGGTGTTGGTGAGGTGGTGGTGGTGTTGGTGTTGGTGGGTGGTGTTGGTGACTGGTGGTGTTGGTGGTGGTGGTGTTGGTGGAGGTCTGGGGTGGTGTGGTGACTGGTGTTGGTGAGGGGGTGTTACTGGTGGTGTTGGTGAGGGGGTGTTACTGGTGGTGTTGGTGAGGGGGGGTGTGTTACTGGTGGTGTTGGTGAGGGAGTGTTACTGGTGTTGGTGAGGGGGGTGTTACTGGTGTTGGTGAGGGTGGTGTTTACTGGTGTTGGTGAGGGGGGTGTGGTGACTGGTGTTGGTGAGTGGTGGTGTTGGTGACTGGTGTTGGTGAGGGGTGGTGTTGGTGTTGGTGTGGTGTTGGTGAGGGGTGGTGTTGGTGAGGGGGGGTGTTACTGGTGGGTTGGTGAGTCTGGGAGTGTGGTAGTGGTGGTGTTGGTGAGGAGGGGGTGTTGGTACTGGTGTTGGTGAGGGTGGTGTTGGTGTTGGTGGTGTTGGTGAGGGCGGTGTGGTACTGGTGTTGGTGAGGGGGGTGTTGGTGGTGTTGGTGTTGGTGTGTTACTGGTGTTGGTGAGGGGGGTGTTGGTGACTGGTGTTGGTGAGGGGCTGGTGTTGGTGGTGTTGGTGTTGGTGAGTTACTGGTGTTGGTGAGGGGGGGTGTTGGTACTGGTGGTGTTGGTGAGGGTGGTGTTGGTGGTGGTGTTGGTGAGGGGGTGTTACTGGTGGTGTTGGTGAGGGGTAGTGTTACTGGTGGTGTTGGTGAGGGTTGGTGTGGTACTGGTGTTGGTGAGGGAGTGTGGTGACTGGTGGTTGGTGAGGGTGGTGTTGGTGACTGGTGGTGTTGGTGAGGGAGTGTGGTGGTGGTGGTGTTGGTGAGGGTGTTGTGACTGGTGGTGTTGGTGAGGTGAGTGTGGTGGTGGTGTTGGTGAGGGGGTGTTACTGGTGGTGTTGGTGAGGGAGTGTTACTGGTGTTGGTGAGGGGGTGTTACTGGTGGTGTTGGTGAGGGAGTGTTACTGGTGGTGTTGGTGAGGGAGTGGTGTTGGTGGTGTTGGTGAGGGAGTGTTACTGGTGGTGTTGGTGAGGGAGTGTTACTGGTGGTTGGTGAGGGAGTGTTACTGGTGGTGTTGGTGAGGTGGTGTTACTGGTGGTGTTGGTGAGGGTGGTGTGGTACTGGTGGTGTTGGTGAGGGAGTGTTGGTGAGGTTGTTGGTGGTGTTGGTGAGGTGGTGTTACTGGTGGTGTTGGTGAGTGGTGGAGTGTTACTGGTGGTGTTGGTGAGGGGGGTGTTGGTGACTGGTGGTGTTGGTGAGGAAGTGAAGAAGCTATGTTTGGATATATATATATATATATATATATATATATATATATATATATATATATATATATATATATATATATATATATATATATATATATATATATAATTGGAAATGTTGTCCAATGGTACTTTGATTCTCAAAGTGGGTTATGAAATTGATTGTTTCCCTTTGATTGTCGTGAATGGTTGATTGTTTGAATTGCGTCTTCCGTAATGGTATAATCCCCTTGTTTAAGGACGGTTATTAAGACTAATTAAATACATCTCAAGGGGACAGAGTAGTTTAGGCTAGTTCTACCCCCTGATCCCCTTGTTGGGGGGAGGGTACAGGTCAGTTTGGGGTGTGTCTGGGGTAGGGGGGGGGGAGCGGAGTAGGGTTATTGGTGGTGGTTTAAATAACCCTTCATCCAGATTTGGTTTAAATCCCGGTAAATGGGGATTTATTGTGTTTTTTTCTTTATTGTTGGTTAGACCGCCATTATTATTATTATTATTATTATTATTATTATTATTATTATTATTATTTCCTGGTGCCCAAGCTGTTCTGTCGTATCCTGGGGCACAGTTAACACAGTCACTCACGTACACGAATGTATGCTCAGTCAGTGAGTGACTGTGAGGAACGAGGTCTCGGAGTGGGGAAGAGTCACCAGTGGAGTCCCACAGGGATCAGTCTTTGGACCTGTACTGTTCCTGATATACGTAAATGATCTCCCAGAGGGAATAGACTCGTTTCTCTCATTGTTTGCTGATGATGCACAAATTATGAGGAGGATTAAGACAGAGGAGGATAGTATGAGGCTACAAGATGACCTAGACAAGATGAATGAATGGTCCAACAAATGGCTACTGAAGTTCAACCCAAGTAAATGTAAGGTCATAAAACTATGCGGAGGTACCAGGAGGCCAGACACAGGATACAGAATGGGTGATGAAGTCCTTCATGAAACGGACAGAGAGAAAGATCTAGGAGTTGATATCACACCAAACCTGTCTCCTGAAGCCCACATAAAAAGAATAACGTCTGCGGCATATGCGAGGCTGGCTAACATCAGAACGGCGTTCAGGAACCTGTGTAAGGAATCATTCAGAATCTTGTACACAACATATGTAAGACCAATCCTGGAGTATGCGACCCCAGCATGGAGCCCGTACCTTGTCAAGCACAAGACGAAGCTGGAAAAAGTCCAAAGGTATGCTACTAGACTAGTCCCAGAACTAAGAGGCATGAGTTACGAGGAAAGGCTGCGTGAACTGCACCTCACGATACTAGAAGACAGGAGAGCTCGGGGAGACATGATCACCACATACAAAATTCGTAGGGGAATTTACATGATAGACAAGGATGGATTATTTAACACGAGTGGGACACGAACAAGGGGACACAGGTGGAAACTGAGTACGCAAATGAGCCACAGAGACGTTAGAAAGTAGAAAGAACTTTTTCAGTGTCAGAGTAGTTAGTAAATGGACTGCATTAGGAAGTGATGTGGTGGTTATCTTGAGATTATCTTGAGATGATTTCGGGGCTTTAGTCTCCCCGCGGCCCGGTCCTCGACCAGGCCTCCACCCCCAGGAAGCAGCCCGTAACAGCTGACTAACACCCAGGTACCTATTTTACTGCTAGGTAACAGGGGCATAGGGTGCAAGAAACTCTGCCCATTGTTTCTCGCCGGCGCCCGGGATCGAACCCGGGACCACAGGATCACAAGTCCAGCGTGCTGTCCGCTCGGCCGACCGGTGGAGGCTGACTCCATACACAGTTTCAAATGTAGATATGACAGAGCCCAGTAGGCTCAGGAACCTGTACACAGTCTATTTAACACAAGGGGAACACGCACAAGGGGACACAGGTGGAAACTGAGTGCCCAAATGAGCCACAGAGATATTAGAAAGAACTTTTTTAGTGTCAGAGTGGTTGACAAATGGAATGCATTAGGGGGTGATGTGGTGGAGGCTGACTCCATACACAGTTTCAAGTGTAGATATGACAGAGCCCGATAGGCTCAGGAACCTGTACACCTGTTGATTGACGGTTGAGAGGCGGGACCAAAGAGCCAGAGCTCAACTCCCGCAAACACAACTAGGTGAGTACAACTAGGTGAGTACCAGTTGATTGACGGTTGAGAGGCGGGACCAAAGAGCCAGAGCTCAACCCCCGCAAGCACAACTAGGTGAGTACCAGTTGATTGACGGTTGAGAGGCGGGACCAAAGAGCCAGAGCTCAACCCCCGCAAGCACAACTAGGTGAGTACAACTAGGTGAGTACCAGTTGATTGACGGTTGAGAGGCGGGACCAAAGAGCCAGAGCTCAACCCCCGCAAGCACAACTAGGCGAACACACACACACAATTAAACTGTTGTTACAGCGGAAGTGTATCATGATGCCTGACACAATGAACTTGAGGTAATTATCATTTCCTGTCTCTTTCAGCTTTTATTTTAAGGAATCCTAAGAACAAAGTGACTATTTGTGTTGAAACAGATTGGTCACGTGACGTGGAAGACCAGTGTTGATTGGTGGAAACTTTCCACAATGTCAAATAGGCACTTGCTGATTGGTCGCCTTGGTCGCCTGGCGCTCGCTGATTGGTCGCCTGGGGGTCCCTGATTGGTCGTCTTGGTCGCCTGGGGCTCGCTGATTGGTTGTCTTGGTCCCCTGGGGGTCCCTGATTGGTCGTCTTGGTCGCCTGGGGCTCGCTGACTGGTCGCCTTGGTCGCTTGGCGATCGCTGATTGGTCGACTTGGTCGCCTGGCGCTCGCTGATTGGTTGTCTTGGTCGCCTGGGGCTCGCTGATTGGTCGCCTGGGGCTCGCTGATTGGTCGTCTTGGTCGCCTGGCGCTCGCTGATTGGTCGCCTTAGTCGCCTGGGGGTCCCTGATTGGTCGTCTTGGTCGCTTGGCGCTCGCTGATTGGTCGCCTTGGTTGCCTGGGGGTCCCTGATTGGTCGTCTTTGGTCGCCTGGCGCTCGCTGATTGGTCGCCTGGCACTCACCCGTGACGGGACGCCATGATTGGTGCATAAGAATCCGTGTTCTTACCCACCAATCCCAAGATGCAACGATTCGTTGAGGAGGACTCGTGCGTGATGATTGGTTGATGAGGAGGTCCCATGCAAGAGGGTTCCAGGAGCAAGGGGGGTCGGAGGGGGGAGGGGGAGAAGGGGGGAGGGGGGGTTGCCTGATGAGCAAGGAGACGAGGTAATTGGTAGATGGTTTCTGCGTGTCTCTGCCACCCCAGACCTCATGAACTATCCTTGAAGGTCACGTGACCCCACACACACACGCACACACACACATACAGTGATGTGGTGGAGGCTGACTCCATACACAGTTCAAAGTGTAGATATGATAGAGCCCAGTAGGCTCAGGAACCTGTACACCAGTTGATTGACAGTTAAAAGGCGGGACCAAAGAGCCAAAGCTCAACCCCCACAAGCACAACTAGGTGAGTACACACACACACACACAACACACACCACACACACACACACACACACACACACACACACACACACACACACACACACACACACACACACACACACACACACACAGCTAACAGCACGATTCTGCAGACAAAAATTGAGAGGCGGGTTGAAAAAGACAGTTGAGAGGCGGGCCGAAAGAGCCAGAGCTCAACCCCTGACAAACATAACTAGGTGAATACAAATAGTAAATACTCGTGGCCAATCCTGCAGGTCGAGGCAGAATTTCACCGTGGATACTAAAAGAAGGAGCAGAAGCACTGTGTCTGCCACTCTCAATGGTGTGTACTATAACAGGTCACTAGTAACTGGAGAACTGCCAAAAATTTGGAAGACAGCCAGACGTGTCCCTAAATTTTTGCATACCATGCAAGGGGGAGAAGGAGACAATTACGAGAAAAAAACAGACAGAACATCTAGAGAGAAATAACTTTGTAACACATCACCAACATGGGTTCAGGGAGGACAAATCTTGCCCTCACGGGATTAATTCTATGACCAGGCGACAAAAATAAGGCAAGATAGAGAAGGGTGGGCAGACTGCATGTTTCTGGATTACCAGAAAGTCTTTGACACGGTACCCTATAAGAAACTAGTACACAAGTCATAGATGCAGGTAGGCATAAAAGCGGAGGTACTCTAGTGGATAAGGGAGTACCTAAGCAACAGAAGACAGCGAGTCACTGTGAGGAGTGAGGTCGCAAGAGTAGCGAGACGTCACCGGTGGAGTCCCGCAGGGTTCAGTCCTTCGTCCTACCCTGTTTCTGATACATGTAAATGATCTCCCAGAGGGAATAGACTCGTTCCTCTCAATGTTTGCTGATGATGCAAAAGTTATGAGGTTAGTGTAGGAGTAACTTGGTGTTACTCCCACCTATCTTGAGGTTATCTTGAGGTTATCTTGAGATGATTTCGGGGCTTTAGTGTCCCCGCGGCCCGGTCCTCGACCAGGCCTCCACCCCCAGGAAGCAGCCCGTGACAGCTGACTAACATCCAGGTACCTATTTTACTGCTAGGTAACAGGGGCATAGGGTGAAAGAAACTCAGCCCATTGTTTCTCGCCGGTGCCCGGGATTGAACCCAGGACCACAGGATCAAAAGTCCAGTGTGCTGTCCGCTCGGCCCACCGGCTCCAAACCACCTACCACTAACAATCAGCACTAAGAACTGATTCTTAGTGGATAAGAGGTAATTAATTTAACCTGAATTGCTTAAACAATGCCAAGCCATGTTGAACAACTCCACAAGGGCCGTGACGAGGATTCGAACCTACGTCCGAGATCATCCCAGACGCTGCCTTAATCTCGATCTATAATCGGGATGCTCTCGGACGTAGGTTCGAATCCTCGTCACGGCCCTTGTGGATTTGTTCATTGATGCATCATGCTATTGTGATTTCTGTGTGTTATTCCAAATATGACCACAAACACTACAGTATACGGCTAGGAAGACTCAGGTTTACCATGAAGCAAGTAAACTGGATCTACAGAGCTACGGCAATCAGTTTACCCGGATTGTATAGTACCGCTAATCCCCTCTCCATCCGGAACTGTGAAATTATTGGTACAAATGGGTATAGTGTCACCCGCATTAGGGCGCCCGGCTACCGGTAGGGAGTGAGGGGTGAGGAGTGAGGGGTGAGGGTGAGGGGGCTGTGTGAGGTAAGGGGGGGGGGGCCCTAGGGTGATTGAGAGAAAGAGAAGGGACAGACAGACACACAGAAAGACGAAATGTGGGGACCGCTTTTGTTTACACTCCCTTAACAGGTGTGTAGTGACTACTCATGCTCACTCTCCCTTAACAGGTGTGTAGTGACTACTCTTGCTCACTCTCCCTTAACAGGTGTGTAGTGACTACTCTTGCTCACTCTCCCTTCACAAGTGTGCACTGAACACCTCGCGCTCAGTTGCAGAATAATAATTCATCTTATTTTTTTGTTTTTTTCAGGTAAATTCGGGTAGAAGCATTCGAGGCTCCGCTAACAAGAGGATCACAGCGCCAAGTAGATCAGAACACAGGTCGCAGGAATCAACACCCTACCCGTCAGCCACTCCC